AAAGTGCATCATTAAAACTTTAAATCTATGAATTGTTCGCAGTGAATTATATGATTACTGTATTTTAAATGAACAGTTTTACTTCTGATTTTTCAGCTAGCATTGTGGAACAATTCTAAATAGGTTAAAATATCTTACAAAACCAACCAAAATCAACAAGTCATATACAATAATCATGTATATAATGCAATATACGTCTGTATTTAAGGAAGATGAAAAGGTTCAATTTATGTAGCAAGATTATGGAATTACGTATCTGTTATCCAACCAGTACTTAGTTTCTGCTATTGTATGGGGTAACAGTATAACCAAGGCCAACCATTGCAGGCTAGATGAGTTGTTAGAGCAGCTGGTAATGTAGTAGGAAAGAACATGGTGGAGCTCGAGGCTCTCTACTCTGACCTTCTGTATAAGAAACTAAACTTAATCATAGCTGATAAAACACCCTTTGCATGGGGAAATAATGATTAATAAATCCGGACGAATTAGAATGCCGAATAATAAAAAATTGGAAGATTAAGGAACTCTTTTCTGCCGTCAGCAATTATAGAATTTAATAAGAGGAAACTAAGATAATGTAGAATTCATACAGTTAGAATTGTGTTACCGTATGTGCTTTTTAATATATTATATTTATTTTTATACTGGAGTAGATTTGCAATAAGGAAGGAAAATTTCATAATTGTACCTTGTATTTTTATGACAATGAAAGATCTGTATCTGTATCTGTACCTTGTAAACTAAGTAAAATGCAATAGAAAAAGAACCCCTTACCATTTCATTTATAGAGAACACAGGAAAGGGATCAAAGTAACTAATCTATTGCAATCGTGATTGATCAGTCCCTTGAAATGAGTTCAAATCATTCAAACATCACTGGCATTAGCTCCGTGGCGTTAACTAATCTGGGGTCTGCAGGTAGCTTTAATAACACCACAGAGGTGGCATGAGTGGCCTAAATGCCACTGCCTAGTTCACACACGAAGGCATAGGGTACGCCAGGCTTATGCCGTGTGTGTGAACATACCCTTAGATGTTCTAAGAAAGTTCATTTGAACAGATCTCCTGGAAAGACTTCTTCCAACTTGGAACCCCTGTAGTTGGTTGACCATATTCCTCAATTGAAATGAATCACCCCATGGATGTGTTTCTACTAAAAATCGAAAAACATTTCTATTATCGTTGGTTAGTAATTGGATTACCAAAATAAAGACTAATTACTGCACCATCTGTGGGCCTGTTTCTACAGGAGAAAGAACCATTCCTAAGCAAGAATGGTTTTTTGTGACAGTAGAAACTGGGCCCACAGAAAAGAATGGTTCTTTTTGGCGTCCAAAAGAACCGTTCTTTGGCACAGAATCTATACTGTGCCGAAAATGCCAAGGAACTGTTCTTTGTAGAAAAGAACTGTTCTTCGGTCCTCTGCCTCTTTCATGTGGAGTCAAAATGCAGTTGCGATGCAGTTCTTATCTTGTTAATCCGATAATCAACCAATAATATTAGAGGACAGTTTCTGTCTCGATTTTCAGTAGAAACACACCCTGCACATGAAATTGATTTTGTGGCAAAGCATGCTAAAAAAGTTATTTTTATTGTCTTTCCCCTCCTCCTTTTTACCGCCACAAAAACCATTCTTTGAAAGCAGTGGTGGATCCACAGGTGGTTTCAAGGATTCGGACCCCTTTTCATAAAATTGAGCCCCCGTTTAAAATCCTTAGTCTGCTCCTTCAATTTATAGATAAAGTATATATAATTAATTATATAATTAATTATATAATGTATAGAAGCTATAATTGATAAATTATTTTACCCTTGTATATGAAAGATTTAATACATTAATTGATATTCTTGATATTTTTTTTCCAGACAAGTATCTGAATACTATGTATAACACTTCATGATGTACTCCTTAATTTTTTTAATTTTTTTTTTTTGAGAATTCATCTATTGATTGCCTCAGGCAAAGTATCTAAAGTTGGGCATCGGCCGACACTATTCTGTGAAGTAACATAACGCGACAACGTGCATGTAATGGATCATTTTTTATGATGATCTGTCTAGGCTGCCACCGACAAACAGCAGACGTAATTGCGCGGCTTTAGATATTCATCTAACATTCATTATTGGTACTCCATTTTAATCAACCAGTATATTGAATCTATTTACTTCTAAAGTTTTACTCCTGATTTAATTCACATAATTTAATGGTATGAAAATGGTAATGTACTTTTTTGTAATGTATGAGATGAAATTTACCGCAGTTGTTCACTTTCATTTGTTAACATTATTGCCTGCGAGCAATTTAGTATATTGTAAATAGCAGCAGAACTGCCTAAATAATTTTGCTTCTGAAACCTTACCCTATTTTGTAAACCTCAATTTTGTATGTCAATGTATATTATAGTCCTACTGAAAGATATTAACAAGGAAATTCGGTACTTTGACCCACAGCGACAATGTAGCGCCTATCGTGGTCAGCGGAAGACAATCCCCATCTTTCAAATAGTGTATGCCAATTAAATAGTAATAATATTTATCTTCTTGTTGCGTTACGACAATAAAATTATCTTGTATCTTATATAGTTAAATAGTGAGTTTTTTTGTGCACATGTTCTAATATGCACATAAGACCAATGGCTTAATATCTAATCAGAAGGATGAGATAATTAGACCAAAGTTTTCTACCGAATGACATGGACAAAAAAACGGCATTTACAGGATTTGAAATTGGGCCCTTTCACACCAAAGTCTAACCTCTTACTGTAGTACTAAATCGCCCTTAGGAATGTTTAATTAGAAAGTATTATACTCCAACGATATTTCAATACTTGCAGTATGTATTATACTTTCTTATCTGAGATTAATCAGTGGACGTTTCAGTTTTTTGGAAAATGTGTACCGGTAATTGTTATGCAAAACTTGTACAATGCTTGAGCCCATTTCAGAGTTGCATATTGGCACCTTCAAAGCAAAGACACTTCCCGTGCTGAAGAAAAATGTACTGTATGTGATAAAAATATTAATAAAACATTGAATTGCCCATATAAAAAATTCAGTAACATACAACTTTCTAAGACACAAATTTTTCAATTTGAAAACTCTCACATTGATTGCAAGCCAAAAGATTTATGCATATTATGTAGTATTGAATTTGTGTGGAATAATTCTTTTAAGTAAATCAAGAAGTATGTACTGTTATGATGAATTATTCCATTTTCATATATAATAGAAACCATATGAAATTATTTGAGCTTATATGAAGACACTTATGAAAGTTCAGATTGATTGTACATTTGAATAATATAATAATATTTTATGTTTATTTCATTTGGTTATATTTGATAAGAATATTAGTATAGTACTTACTAGACAATTTGTAGTATTGCTTTTAAACTGCTTTTTTAAATGTAATTTCATGAACTCAATAACAAATTTCAATTTTTAGGTAATTTCTGTATTCTGTACCTTCAAATTGTGAACGCCATTATTAGTGTATAGCTTGACACATACATTATTATTTCTGTATCTTTTAACATTGACCCAGAATTTGAAGCTAAAAAAGAGTGTCACTGATGGATGATGTATTGTAGTAGCAGATGAGCTGCAATATATTATAATGAGTTATGGAAGCGAATAAATGATAATGTTCTTAAGTGAATGTATATTATTATTCGAAATCGAAATGTAGTATATATTGAGAATAAATCTTCAGCAGCATATCTACGTCAGTAGGAATCTTGAAATGGGGCCACAAAGTTGAACTGGGAATACTCGCTATTTAGGTGAATAAGGTGGATTTTGCGGGGTGGAGTGCGAGTATTTTTGGGGATACTCACCCCCTAGGTATGCCACTGATCTTCAGTGCTCCCTAATCTTATGTAGTCAAAAATATCTGGAAATTGATCAGAAAAAAATAATATTGAATATGAATAATTAATATTCATAATGAAAAATTTAAGTCATCTGCTCACTGAACGGTTCACTGCACACCAGAAAACAGTAAATGAGTCAAAACGGGACCCCTTTTTCTCACAAAATTGACTCTATAAATCGAATAGTTTCATGTGGCAATCCGGGGTGATCGGATTATAAAACTAGATGTTTTAAGCTTTATAATCATCTATATGTTCTTACAATTAATGCAAAATTAAGTGATCATTTTTCTTTCAAAGTTGACAACATCTTATGGTTTTGCTTAGGAAAGAAGGTTTAAAATTAGAGTGTTTTTGGTATACTAACTGCTTCTTAACATAACTCTGCAACGATAGTTCGCTAAACTTTGGGGTGAACGGTCAAGTGTCACTCATAATAAATTATAAGCATGTAAGTCTCATGCTGGTTGGTTAATAACCAGTTATCATTTTTTCTTTAAAATTTTGTATTCAGAACCATTTTACCTGTCTATGAATAATGTCACATGCTTTAAGCTGATAACAGCTATGAATTTCGAGTTTTCTGTGGTTAGTGCGTTAATGCATTAGATGTAGGTTAAATGTACCTGACTGAGCTTTTGACCAAAATAGGGAAATGTTTTCATTATGAAATGATATATAAAAACTAAATGAGTAAACCAAATGTTAATCCAGGGTAGTTATTTCAATAATGTCATAGTTTAACTATAAAAGCAACCATTTAAGCGAGTCGAGGGACAAGTGGCTAATGCAACTGTCCCGTAACCAATACCTTACATCAGCTCTAGTTTGAGGCCTTCCTCACTATGGTATAGGATGATGAACCAAGTTGGATTAGGATTAAAAACTAAACGCCCAACAAAATAATAAAATTGTGTGCGCTTAAAGGAAGGTAAAACATTCTTCAAGAACAGAGGGCATTAATGTGCTGGTCCTCTCCAAGGCGCTTGTGCCAAGAGGCAGTACCCAACACGATGGACCTTATAGAAACCATAGTAATATGAAATATATATAACTCGATCACCTTTGCCTTTACTGTTTGAAAATGCTGATTTTTTTGTGTGTGTTGTTTTGTGTTTATTTTAATAGGAAGCAGAGTAGTGGAGACTTGCAGAGTCGTCTCAAAACACGCAAACTTCTTGGTGTTGGCGAGAGCGAGGATGGTTCTGTACCTATGTCAAAGGTAAGCATGCCTTGTTAAAGTACAATGCAAAAAATTATATGAATGACAATACACACAATTTAAAGATTACGTGTCTTATAATTGTAAGAAACTTAGCACTAAAAATGAAATTAATGGCCTAATAATTTTATAATAGATTTTAACTAAAAATTAGAAGTGTAAAATAATACTGTTCCTAATATAAAATTCCAAGTAAAACATCTAAACCATTGAAGATTGGTTTTGTATTTTTGTTGTTGATCAGTGACTAATAATTTATTTAAACTTTTGGAGTTTTCTTTAGTTTTTTTTTTTTTTGGTGCAGTAATAATTTTTTTTATTGTATTTGATTTTTTATGTTTTTAAATATCTGATATCTTCCTTTTGTGCACTTTAGTCTAATACTGTCAAAATGACAGTTTAATGTTATATAAGAATGTGAATTTTTATAAAAATTGAAAATTTCCATTTGTTATAACTTTTCATACTGTTGGTCAGTTTTCACCAATCAAATTGTAGTTTATAGAAGCACTTAACAAGCTCATGATCAAAATAAATCAGATGTAACAGACATTGCAAAGTACCCAAATTTAATAACTAACACCATAAACTGTATGGCACGCATGGACTAATGATTGATGATTTCCACGGTTAAGGTGCCACAATTAAGATCAGAGGACTGTCATGCGCACACACTATGTTTGCAAGTAGATAGGAGCGTCCTTTCGTTGAATTGCCTTGGGATATAGTAGTACATAGTCCATGCCTGGTTGATGTGCCCTGAGTAAAAAATCAATTAGAGGTGATGGAATAGAAAATATTCAGCTTCCGATGTGCAATGCCAGAATGTTCTTAGATCATAAAGCTGAATATGGTGTAGGTGTATGCAACAAACTTAGCCTTTGGCCCTCAAAACAATTTTATTCTAATTGGCTAAGGAAATGAGTACTGTTGCTTAAAGAATAAAAAAAATATGCATTTCATTATACCTGTTTAGGTATTTGTTTGTCTAGTTTACTTTTGATTTGGTGTGTATTATTGATGATATTGATGTCATGAGTATTGTGCTTATGGGATAATGGAAGATATCACATTACTGAGGAGATAACACATACATTAGCATCAGAGCTGTAAATTACCTCAGCACTTATCATAAGATTGCTGATAATGTTACCTGTACAGCATCACTCATTTTCAAGCACGTCACAGATGTATGATGAGATTCAAAACTCGGTTTTTCTATAAAATTAATTTGTGTTGATTTGTGTAATATTTCAGAAAGATATTCATAGTAACCGCAGGTAAAACATTAATAAATAGATTTATATTTTTTGCATATTTAAATCAATTATTTTTATAAATTAATCTTTTACTTTTCATTTTTATTGTGTCTTTTTAGATCAGTCAAATTCTAGGTAACGATGATCACTTCCTTCTGGCCTTTCCAGCAGGCCTCAGGTGAGTGTTCCCTTCCTTTATTCACCACCTCCTCTTACCCAATCCTTTTTGATGTGTTTACCTCATATGTCTCCCAATTTTCTATGCAATGTCCTGGTCTCCAAAATTGTCAGAAAGAAACCCAAAATATCGAAACAGCTAATTAGTGGCTTAGTATTTCTGTGACAATTTTTCCTTTGTGCGCAGACTTACAATGTCATTGTACAAAGGCTTCCCTAATATTACCGATACCTCAAAAGATCAGAATATATCTTTGAAAAAGCTTACATTTTCAACATTTCACCAGTGCCCATCCGGTCTCACGAATTTTGAGTTGGGTTAGAACATCTGCCCCCTTTAACCCAATTTCCTGCCTACTAGTTGCATTACAATTAATAACTTTCAAATCATGCCAACCATGAGATTGGGATTTTGAACTCCTCACTGTGCATTTTGCTTGTGTCCTTGTGCAAGACAATTTTATCTTATGCTGATACGCTAATTACTAGATGTAGAATTATGGAAATACTCCCACAGGGAGCTGAGTATATGTTCTATAGGTGTTTATTCCATTAACCGGGTTAATAATGGTAAGTGCAGAAAGACCTGTTGGCATATGATGCGCTGTATAAGACATTAAATCCGTAGTAGAATACTCAACTCAAACAAATCTTCCTCTATAATCAAACAGTATTGAGAATTGACATTTATATCAGATAAATTAATGTTTCTTCTTACTCTGCTATAATGACGATGGGGTATCAACATTTGGTAACTTTTTCATAACTCTGTCGCCGACATTTTGTATCTTGCAATGTCTTGGTTACAAAATGTCTGTGCCAGAGTTACAAAAAGTTTGGGTTACGAAATTTCCACCTTATGACGGCATACAAGTCAAAATTCAGATTATTTTTGACTGAAGATTTAAAGGAATAAACAACCCATGTCACTAAATCCAGAATACATGCCACAAGTATTTATTTCTGAGGCATCATTAAGTCAGATGTGAATGGATTGCGTAGGCTAATCCCCTCGCTTGGGGACATTTTTAATCACTGATTGATCTTGTTTTGTCACATTGACACCTTTCTGTCACAAGTGTAGCAATATTTCACCTTGAGATGAGCTCAAATTGTTTATTCATGTTAAACTTGGCTTTGGTTCAAATATTAACAAAATAATTCTTGTAAATATGTGATATCTGACACTGTGATAAGCATGATCTATCAACGGGATTGTACAATCCCGGCAGAACAAATAGTTTCACTTTATGGGTTTTGATAAATGTTTAACATGGTGCAATATATCGTAATGACCACATTATGATGTATTTACATTATCGTATGTTTTTACTTACTACTAGAATCCTCAGGTTTTTTTTTTTCTGTGTGTAATCATTGGCTGTGCAGCAATGAGTAGTAATATAGTAATTTTTTTGGACACTCACAAATTACAAGATGGAACTATGAATGATAAAATAAATCTCATCGTGAGTAGAGTTACTTTGGAAGTGGACTTGTTTTTAGTCATAAAATTTGACCCCAAGACCTTGAAATTAGATAGTGGGCACTTAACTACATAGCCACATCTTAATTCTAAATGGTTTTTTTTAATGATTTCTATATTAATATTAGTCTATGTTTTTTTTTCTGTTTCTTACAAAATTTTAATACGACCAGCATTTTTATAGTTTAAATTTAATAAGACAACGCTGATGTATGAAGAATTCCCAACTACGAATTGAACTTGCATTGATAATGGATTACTTCTTCACATTTATCTGGCAGTGATTAATATTAGTCATATGACATTAAAATGATTACACCTGCTTTTTTTAAATAAATATCATTTAAAACTATACACGCTTGCATTTAAACACTTAATTGAATCCAAAATAACAAGATGATAATTCTCATTGCTTGTGTCACGTCCAAGACATTGTGTCTTGGAAAAAAATGAGCAATACATAAAATCATGTTTTTTATGTTTTCCTTTTTTTCAGACTTTGGCAGGTGACAACGTCATTTGTGTTTACGGCAGTAGCACTTATGGTAATATTTCATTTTATTCGACAATGTAAAAAAAACAAGTCTTTGAATTGACTCTCAGGTGTTTTTACACTCCATTTCCTAATTAAAAGAGTCATGGGATAGGTAGGTCACATAAGATGACTACAGGGAAAAAACAAAATCATGCTAATGATGGTGATCATGATCATAATGGTGATTATGATGAGTATTATCATGAATACAAACCTGTAGGCAAGATTTCTAAAGGAAGGTTCTAATTGTTCACAAACGAACATTTTGAGTCCACATTCATTTCAGTCCTACCATGGTTGGGGAAGACTTTAAGGATATAACACCTCCAGAAATGGCACTCCAATACTTTCAAATTTCAAATTTTTGGGGTGAATTCCAACAACTTCCATACAAATTGCACTTTTTAAAAATATATTTTATAAGACATTTCTGGGGGTGGGGAGGAATTCTTTCAAACCCCTCAAACCCCCTGGCTACCAGCTTGGATTACGACCAAGGATGATCCCGATTATCATGATTATTGTTGTGATTATCAATATCAGTCAGTCATGTTTTGCTTCTTTTTTTTTTCTTATATATATATTTTTTTCTCATTGTGCATCTACTGCAGGGGCGGATCCAGGATTTGAAAGGGAAGGTTCATTTTCCCATAAACCCAAAAATGAAAGGGGGGGGGGGTCCTAGATGGCCGGAAATGAGCTTTCCCGACTTATGAGGTGTCTTTTTTAATGACCTTTAATTTCTTCAAAATTCAAAGTTTTGCCCCTCTTAAAAAAAGTCAGGTGATTTTATCTCATTCTTAGGCCTATACCATAGAAAATAAATCAAAAATATAGTCAATATATTATTAGGCCTATATCATACCAAGTCTCTCGCATCCTGCGTGAAACTCACGCTTTTCGAACAAACCTATCAAGCCTCTTCTCTAAAATCTCATGCTTTTCCACTAATCTCAAGCTTTATTTGATTAAACCCAAACTTTTTATCGAAATACTATAAACCTTCGCAATTCTATATTTTATCAGGCCCAGATCATCGAAAATTCTTTCGTTGCTATTATAAAATATGTTCAAAATTGAGACAACTATATATTGCACCTAATAAATCTATTGACTGATTGAATTGGAAAATACATAAAACTGGAAAACAATGCAGTGGCGGATCCTAGGGGGGTTCAAGGGATTTCAGCACTAGAGATATTCAGAGTGCACCAGAGAGCATCTAAGCCCAAAATTTTTCGGGCCACTGGACGGGCCCTCGACTTACGTCAATTGGGTTTATTTCCTGTTACATCACAAGCCTTTAGCTACCTCCAACTTGGCATGTATTCTTATTCCAACATTATTGAGTAGTTGGATACGTAGTCTTTCTTTCATGGATCGATGAACTGATATAGGCCTGAAGAACACACTTTCGTACATAAATTATTACAACGTCGATGCGAGATGGTTGGTAATGCCTTTTTTAAGCCAGAACCTAATAGTATTTTGTTAAGTTTCTTCATAGAGTATTTAGATAATAGAGAAGTTGGATACGTAGTCTTTCTTTCATGGATCGATGAACTGATATAGGCCTGAAGAACACACTTTCGTACATAAATTATTACAACGTCGATGCGAGACGGTTGGCAATGCCTTTCTTAAGCCAGGACCTAATAGTATTTTGTTAAGTTTCTTCATAGAGGGGGGTTCATCCGATATGTTTCTTTAATCGTCAAAATCTCGGGTGAGAGTTCGTCCGAACCCCTTGAATCCCCCTTGGATCCGCCACTGCATTATTTTCCAATTCAATCAATCAATAGATTTATTAGGTGCAATATATAGTTGTCTCAATTTTGAACATATTTTTCTTTTACTTTAATACTTTTAATTTAATATGTTGATCAAGTTTTTTTTCAAATATTTACACTCATTGGTTGTAATGGTAATACACTACTGAGCCACTTCGGAAAATCAATGATTTAGCACTGATTGTGTCATTCAGTCTAAAGACAGAATATAATTGAAGAAAATAAATCAACAGACATTTGTAAATGTTGCTGGTATCCACAGCAACACTTGAAAGTAATTAAATTACACATAAGAAGATTATGACGATTATGGCATTCATCATTCTGTCAATGATGTCACGCCTAATCTCTCCTTCTCCCCTCTCCCTCCCCTCATTATTATTAAATTAGACCTCAGGATGAGGTGAAATTATAAACATTGTGCTCACTTAATCATAATTAGTAACATTGCGATAACTGCATTAGTAACATTGCGATAACTGCATTTTAACAAAAAAAAGAGAATAAAATTTCAAACATTATTCACTAATTTATCTTTAGGATACAATAAAGTCTATGTAAAACTGATTATTTTTTTTATACTGATACTGATTATTTTCTTTATTCGTCATAGAAAGTATATTTTAAGAAAATTACTTCCTTAATAGCAAGACATCAATCAATCTTTATTTCACTCATACATAATACAAAAAGTGGAGTGGCCATCACTTGATGCAAATGAGGCATGAAAAAACATTGTTATAATTTAAAGCCCCATTCCCGGCAAAATTTCAGTTTTTAAGAAAAATCTAATTTTTGTATAATGTTATAAAGATT